TAGACATCTTCCAAAACTGTATGGAATATTCTGTAGACTGTAGTAATCGACTAATCATAAGCCCTTTCCCCATAGAAGGGGTGGAAACTTTTTCTTTATTTTCTTTTTTAGGTGTAAATTTGAGACATAAGATCAGAAAATTATACTTTGGTCATAGTAAACTTCTAGGTTTCTATGTTAGAGTGAGTATATTAGGAAAAACAGACGATCAACCGTAATCGTATTCACATACTAATACTATGAATACAATCTTATTAATTAAAATTATTTTTATCGATATTTAATTGTTCTATAACTGGCTATAATTATTCTTGTAAACCCGTGACTTCTCCATTTTTTTATAACTTAATAAAGAAATTCAATAATCACTGTAAAGTTAAACACAATTCTTCGATTAGTAGCCCGCGATAAATAAAAACGCGAAGAAGATGCCATTATAAAGAAAATTAATTGGTGAAAGAATTTAATTGCTTTTTTTCAATTCTAGAAACTTGTAAAAGATAAAAACTTTTGAACTTATATTTTCATTTCTTTAATCTTATTCGTTTCACTTGGTTCTCTAGTTAAGTATTTGTTAAAGGATTCTTTTAAGAAACCACTTGAGAGCGCTTATCGCTTTTAATCGTTTTTGGTTTATAATATTATTTTTTGTTCGTTCAAGTGTTTTCGGCTTCACGGCAAAACAGAGAGGAAACATTTTGATATTATAGTTTTTCGAAAATAATAAAATATTATGCTTAATCACTTATGAAAACAATTTTAATTCTACTTAACCAAAGTATTATCGAAAACAAAAAGTTTTTAATAAGGATAATGTTAATTAAATTAGTATAATTAAGCGGTTATATTTTTATTTTATCATTATTAAGATTGTTATATTTTGTTTTGCCAACTAAGTGCTCTTCGATTGATTAGTGGTTACATAAAATATTTTTTTTGCTTACATGCAAACACAATTAATTAAGTGATATGGGATACTAAAATTATCGGTTAGGTTATTAAGTTATGTAAATAATATGCGGTAAGATAAAATAATTATACAATAAACTTTTACTCGAATAGTTAGAAGTGCTATTAATTCTATATTATTCAATGTTTTTCTGGGTAAATATATTATTATAACATATACTTTGCAGTCTCTTAAAATTAAACAACAGTTGGTATGCATCATTTTCTTAACGTTAAGGTGTTTATGTATTTTTTAATTGTCCATATTTATTTTATAATTAATCGCCTTCTGTAAAAAAAAAATCATTTTTTATTAACACTAAATTATTAAAAATATTTGTCTGCATTTTTTTTGTGGGATTTAAGAAAATATTCTTGGCATTTATACCCAATCGAGAAAATATATCAACTGAGAAAATATAATGTAATAAGGAATTATTTTTCTAATTCTGAAACGATATCCTCAAAAGTTTTCCATATGTTTCTTTAAAAAATTTGTCTTTTTTTCTTATTTAAAATCAATGCATATTTTACCAGCTTACTTATTTTAAAAAAATACAGAATATTCAATATCAACATTTCTATACTTTGAGACGCCATTTTCATTATAACCGTGTTATTTTTAATGTTCTTTGGTATTTTTCTCAACAAAGCAATATAGTTTTATTCTATAATTTCACTTAAGATTTTAACACGTGGTAAAATATAATACATATATTTTTGAATAATATTTATTATGAAATATCAAATACTTTTCGCATTTTGTTCCGCTGCGGACACAAACTAATGATGGGCGGTGGCGTTTCTATTATATTACATATTTCTTTGGGTATACCTTTAGCGCATTTTTATCAATCTACAGTAATCATAGGCCATATTTTTTCATTGTGAAAATACTAAAAGCGTTTGAAAGAATGCGGTCAATAATTATCGCGTTTACTTTTTGATAGTCTATTCAAGAAAATATACTATTCAAGTAATTCGGGTAAAAGTTCTAAAATACAGTATTGAAATACATTCTAGTAATTTTTTGTACACATTTTACAAAAAAAAAAACGAGACTACCCAAAATCACAGCTGGCCTAGATTAGGTTGCTTATTTATAGTTTGATATTTTCCTATTACAATCCAAACCGTAATTTCGATCGATTCGTGTACCGTTCGGCAGTAAATACATCATACTAGATGCTATTATAAGAAGTATAATAACAACACAAGTGTGTAGGGCTATTTTTTAGTTGCACCATGACGGTGTGAGTCGGTAGCTGGGGAAAAATGCGGGTTTTGAAAAGTATTCATCCCTCGCGGTCGTCGACATGTGTGTGTGTGTGTATATATTTACACATTTATTGTACATATGAATACTTATAACATGCGAACATCAATTGTACATAATATTTCTTGTATGGTTGTTATTCTTCTCGCCCACGGCAGGTTCGCCTTGCAAGTTCCAATTCATTCGGCTGTCACGGGAAACCCGAAAGGCCCGTGTCGGCGGACGTCCAAAAGAATAAATTCATACACAAGTGTTTACAATACATGTCTTTTCCCCTTTTGAAAAATCCCAAAAGTAAGGGGCGGCAAGCAATTAATAATCCCACCCAACAAACATGCGTCATGCGCGTTTTTCTTATATTATATAAATATGTGTATTTTTTTTTTCTTCTTTTATCGTCGATGCGAATCCAAAAACCGTTCTACCGCTTTCTTCGTGTTCGTAGATCGAAAATCGGTACGGAAAAGAAACAGCTTTACAAGGCCAAAAATTATAAAAAATTCTCTCTAGATTAACTATAAGTTATAAAGGGCACAGGGGAAAAACGGTAGTATTCACAATATGAAAATTTTTTTTTTCAAATAGTTTTTTTCAATTAATGCTAATATTTTTTTAGAATTTATATCAATAGATTGTTTAAATAAATACATTTATTATTAGAGTAGCATTTAATGTGATTTTTTTTGTTCTTATGTAAGAGGTAGAGAAATTCACGAACTTTGTTTTTGCTATACTCTAAAATTTTCATAATGTGACAACTACCAGTTTTTCCCCTGTGTCCTTGATATATTTTTCTGACTTTAAGCCACCGAACTCAATATGTGGAACGCGTGTTGCTTATAGTCGACTGCTATTTTGTGTAACAGTTATTTTCTTTTGTCCGTGATATGAAACGTTTAGCTTGTGATAAAAGCGAATTAAAAAATACTATCTAAAATCGAGATCCGGGCTCATGTGGTTCGCTAAACAGCTATGTCTTGTGCGAGTATGCACAATGTGGACGGCTCGTCTGCTAAACGCTTAACTCATCAGCAGCGCTGCCATGTTACACCAAGATACGTCGTGTACGAGATAACCAGCACATATTCTCGTTTCGTTTTAATGTTTTAACTGTGAGTACCGAATTTTCCCTTTGCAGGGATTATGTTGCCAGCAGATCGGATATCTCAGACATTTGCCGCATATAATTTGCTTGCCAGAATTATACACGAGCAGGGCTGATCATCAATCTGGGTAATGCCGACCTGCCGCTATGGAGCTCTATAAAATGATACCTTTCTTTTTTAATGCTGATTAATAAGCGGTCGATTTATTACTATTATTTATTTTTTTTGTTAAAAAATAAACCGTTATTACCGTTGCTCGGTTTACCAAGTATCACACTCCTATTTTAAGCTCAACCGAGAATTTGGCAAATTGTCACTTTTATTTCATCCTCATCAAAGCCACCGTTATATTGTCTTCTTCCGCCAAAATCATACTCTATATTATATTCTATCTTACGTCTACCATTCCTTAGTATCTTTCTTTCAAGTGCTATTCTCCACTCTTTGAGCCTTCGGTTAACTTATTCCAGATTTCCCCCCCCCCAAAACTATTATATCATACACCATGGTAACTCACCTCGTATTTCCTTTGAACTTTCTCAAATATTTATACTAAGGCTCATCAAGTTCATTCACCAATCATTTTCACGTTATTTTATATCCCCCTTTCTCCTTTAAATATAGTAGGTGCTTACGTCTTGAATTTATAATAAACTGAAAGTTAATGATCGAGACAAGAACTTCTGAACAAATGGTAAAACAAGTTTAATTTGTTTTCATATAACTATAAAATATATAAGTCATATTATTAAGATTCTATAAATAGGTATACGAAACCAAAATAGTACATAAAATGTTTATTATTAGATTTACCAGTTGTGAACAAAACACAGAGGTTAACCACATTAAAAAAAGACCCATAAGCTTATATTATTTTATAATACATACATACATATCATACCTTTTAAAGTTACCCTTCGTATAAAAGGGAACTTGTTCCATGTTTATGGTGAGCTCATTATTCATGCGGGTCTAGGGTTTGAAAATCATACCCTTTGCGTTTTCCATTTTTGTTTTATATCAATTTAATTTTTATGTTATTTGGCCTATCAGACCACAAAGAAATCTCATTTCTCCGAGCAAAAATTATATTACCGGATCAAAGTTATATCGCAGCTATGATAAAAAGCCTAAAAGCGCGAACAAAAACTTTCAGCGGAAAGGTCTCAAAACGCCGGTCGTGGCCCACGTCCACTTTTTAAAACTTTTACAATATTTCTTTATAATGTTGTAATTCATAGTAATCTTTTCTTCGTTGATCATAATCAATTTACAAAAAGCGCATATAATTATTGTAAAAACAATATCTTCGCAGTTCTGAAATGATTCTCTTATTCTTGGCTAGTGGTTTGTCTTTAGGTTTTTGATTTGATATTGAGACCTTAGGAAATCTCTAGGCCAAATGCGTTTGAATATTCTTGGATGGTATCCAGGAAGATTGGGAGAGGATAGATTAAGCTTTTGAAATGTATTTATCAATTCTTGTATTTCATACCAACTACAGATTGGCGTCGAAGCGTTTATTTGAAAGTAATTTTATTATTTTTGGTTATAATAATTCCTGTAGACCCTTGACTTCCCCCCCCCCCCAATGTTATCCTTCCCACTATGTTTCTACTCCAATGCACTGGCTTTTATTATTATTGTTTTCTAATAGTATTTCGTTTCAGGTACAATAACCAGTACTGGTCGTATAGGAGAACGGCTGAGCATATCCGGAACGAGATTAGACTCCGGAAGTCCAGTGAGATTCGGACCCAAATCTAGCGCCGAATCACTAAGGAATTCTGCTGCTCGTCATAGCTTACTCGACCTAGTAGGATGTAAATTTGGAGTGAGTCGGAAACCTCCTCAAGTAAGCGATTTTTCGATATTTAAATATTGTTATTAGTGTATTGTATTATCCTACATTTGGATAGCGTCCGGAAAATGACCACAGTGATAATCCCTTTTGGTTATGCGTCTCATATAATATTATAATAATTATTCTAATGCAATGGCGAATACCGTTAGTTTCTGTGATGAAATTTAACAATATTAGCGCTTTTTCAATAACAACCGCTATAGCATTTTATAGGTGTTTGATTCGACCAATTATTATTATATTACATCGGTTTGTAAATAATAATTTCCAGAACGGTGGGTTTAACAGAAATGTCGTCGGTTTAAATCTGAATAAACGCTTTGAACATTTCCTACTATATAACAATTTATTATTATTATTATTATTTTATTACCTACCGATTGGCGGTGTAGGTGATCCCGGTAATTTTACACCGATCCCACTGTTCCGAAACAAGCATTAACGACAAATAATAGTAATAATTTAAATATCGAATATTAATCGGCCTCGGTCGGGTCGTGTAACCATGGTAACCACAACGAAATCCGCATTCCGATTAAACGACCGTTTTAAACGCTTACTGCTTAAATATATATATATATATATATATATATATATATATATGCCTCGTTATTATTTATATACAACAACAACGGTTATAATTGAAAACGGTTCTACTCAAAAGTTTTCTAACAATGTGCTTCTCGAGCGATAGTAACGCAAGATAAATACATAAATTCCAATAAACACAAATAGTGTCACGTAAACAACCACGGAAAAGGCCACCACTTCTTATCAATACGTTGCTATTAATAACAATGTGTTCTAATAATATCTTATTATCTTATTCGTGTATACAAATGGAAAACAAAAATATTATAAACAAAAAGTGGTCAGACGGATCGCAAGGGGTTATTAGCTTGGCAGGGGCTTTAGTTTATTTTAAAAATGACGAGTTTCTCGTTATCTATTTCCACTTGACTCATCTGGTCTGCGGAAAACTGTTTTGTTTTAGTTTGTAATGATCGAACTTCGGAAATATTAAGTATGCTTACGATAACGTCATCATGACAGCGTCGATCCAAACCATCATGTCATGTTCATTTTCTTCCTTCCTCTATCTACGATCTCGTTCCATCCGCTCCATTTGTCACACATTATCACATAACTTGGTAATGTTTTCAGCTGTCTCTTATCAGCATTCATATTCAGATTTTTTTTATCACTATTCTTTTATCAGCATCCGTAATCAGCTTTTTCTTATTACTAAACTATTATCACTGATCTCTTATCACTATAGTTTTATCAGTATCCGAACTCAGTTGTTTCTTATCATGAATTCCCGAGCACAGGCAGCAGAGCAACTTATATAGTGTCTCATCTCTAAAGTTGATCACCAATCTATTCGAAACACTTTTCAGTAAAGATAAACTTATTTTAATAAACATCTTTCAATATTAATTACATAATTAGTTTTTGCCCCGTCAAAATCGATACGAAAGAGACTTTTGATTTTGGATGGACTTGGCCAGGGCGGTGGGACTATTTAAAGCATAACAAAAAAATGTGAAATAAAACATAAATATTTGATGTACTAAAAAAATCATCATTTCAATTATTGCAACTCGTTTACATATTTTACGCTAAAGCAAAAAAAATATACTCTACGTTTTTATAATTATTTATGAAACATTATGGAAATTGAGCTCGTTTTTTTTTGCTCTTGAGCTCTCGTATTTTACAGCTGTGAGTGGGACGGCGGCCAGATATCAATTATTATTCATTGCTGATACATTGATCGTTAATTTAATAAAACCTAATTAACAATTGCCGTTACAACAATTGTAATTTATACATGAAAGAATGAAGATTATTTAACAAACAAAACTTTTCAATAACAGCTTTACAACAACCGTTATCGGGTCAAGCTTTGATTACTTTTTCCTGTTGAAATGCCTTTTTTTTCGTTTTGTCTCGATCGGAATGATCATACTTAATTCGCTTGATAACATAATAATTTATAAAACGTAGTGTATCAAAGTTTGCCAACCTTCTAAATTTAGTAGGTCTATCAAATGCATAGCTCAACACTGGCTAATTGCCAGTGCCTTATTGGAAAGACAATTTTTCAACACTCAACTTAGGCGACCGATTGAAATGTGTATTGTCAAATTCTATTATCCAGCGAAATCGGAAGAGTACATGCCGTTGTTGAACGGTTAAAGGGATAATAATTTCGCAGCTTATGCAAACAAACGGAACGAATTTTCAATTATAATTTCGAAACTTTTTCCCTTTGCGCTTTAAGTGTCAAATTAGGACAAGTGCAGCGCAAGTGCCATTGAATTGAAGACGACGCCGGGTCGAATTCAACAAAATGCTATACAGAAGCTCCGTCGAGAGTGTCTGAACGTTAGTGCAGTTCAAGTAACTGTTTAATAAAGGGCGGCCATTTGACGCTTCACGGTAACGCTGTATTTTCGTTGGAAACTGTCCCAAGTGGGCACTCTACAGCCGGCCGAAAACGATCGGTCCTTTTGAAAAAAACAAAATTAAAAAAATCCCCAACGACGAATTCACCGCGATTACAAGATGATTTACTTAGAAACACAGTCTGTTGAACGGACCAAAAGTCGTTTAAAATTAATAAACTCCACAGTTTTCCAAGAACCTCTGAAAAGAAACCTCTAATCGTCGTAAACAACTTAACGGTATAAAAAACGCATAAACAGAGTATAGGTATTATCAAGTTAAACAGTAGAAAAATCCTGGTTAAAATTATATTATATTTATATACTTAAAAACGGCAATATTTTGTATAGCACAAACTGTATAAGACACTACACTAGTCTGAAGTATGGTTTTTATTTTTTTTTTTTTCATTTCAGTGATGACTTATGAGCAATGTATTTTTGTGCGCTTACTTTTTAAATACAAAAAAAAACATATTTATATCACATAAATATTAGGTAAAAACGATATTTAAAACAAACTTGATTAAAAAAATAGACTACACGCCGAAAATAGAAAAACCTGGGTTTTTTTTTCCCGATAAAAAAAAAATGACTTGCTGTTAAAAAACAAATGCTTAGGTTCAGCAAAGAACATCAATTAAATTACAACTGCATACATTTGTAATGCGAAACAGCGTTGTGACATTAACAAATTAATAATAAATAAATCACTGGCGACGAATAAAAAGATAATATAATTATAAAAATATATTATTAATTTTTTTTTTTTTTAATGAATTCATCTTTAGAATTATTAATCTAAATGTTTATTCGTTGTCAAGGTTTTTGAAAAAATAATAACATATGTAATTGAGTATAATTAAGGTTTGTGGTGTTTCAAAAGTAACAAGGGTTGATTTGGGTACAATGTCCTTTAGTGAACCCATACTGTTAAAATTAATCATTTGTCTGCACTGTTGTTGAAAAATCATATTATTTTATTAAATTATAAAATATTAACAAGCTTTTGGATTTCTGTGGCCCATTTGACATCTATAATTGGTGCTATTTCAAGAAGGGACGTGTCAAAATTGTTTTAAGAAAATGTGGTAAAGGGGTTACTTATTTTTAAGTCTTATGTTACTGTATTTCAATATTTATATTCTATCAGTGTTCACAAAAATACAATTAATATAGATTTTAGTCTAATAACGAAGGCAATTTAGATAAATGGTAGGCAAGTGTAGGTAACTATATCCAGCACCTGTTTGGTTGTCAATAGCCAATTTATGTAATTTAATTTAAACAATAAATATGAAATTCAGAAAAAAACATATTTCTAAAGAGATGAACATTAATACAAATTCTATATGCTTTTATGTAAAAAAAAAATTTAGAAATGAAACTGAAAATAGCATAAAGCAATAATTCTTTCAGAGCAGAACTACCAAAAATATTAAAAAATTAATAATGAGCAGGTTAATCGAATAAAAAAACTAAGACAAAAATAAAAAACGAAGACAACTTAGCCATATTTAATTATAACTCACAATATTATACGTTTCAGTGGGACCAGAATGGCGATTAATACACTAATTCTCTAGTACATGTTTTTAATTGTTTCAACTACTGCAACATGCGATATTAAACATTTGACCTATCAGTTATCATATTAGCACATCCTGGTTTTCTCGTTTGAAATTTAAATTTATCTATTGGTCTATATAACCGACAAGGATAATACCGTCCATTGTTTCACAACTTGCGAAAGAAAGTATTTAATATATTTAATTAAGGTGGTTACACTGCCACTAACCTTCTCGATTACTTCGTTGCTGAACACAGGGGACATTGTATTGTGATGTTACAGCTCTAAATATGTTGTTAAATCTATGTTTTTTAATATCACAGTGTTATTGTGTTGTTGTACAGACGTGTTTCTCCAGTTCCCGAGACTCGTTGACGCCAACTTATCCCAACCGGACGGTCTGCCTGCCCAGCGGTATTGCCAGCTCGGACTCTGACATCGCTGCCAAGGCGGTCAAATCCGGTCACCGGCCGAGCCGCGTCAACTTCGACGGCGCCGCCACAGCCACGGCTCCCACGGCCTCCACCACAGGCAGGGCGTCCTACAACAATGCTCGAGGCTCCATCTGCTTCGACGGAGGCCGGCAGAAGAACGGCGGTCCCCGGCAGTACCGGGGCGACAGACCCGCGGAACGAGCCAAAGGCATACGGTGGTCGTTCGTGTTCGACCCGGCTGGCCAGCTGTGCTACTATTGGAACATGGTCGTGTCCATGGCGTTTCTCTACAACTTCTGGGTGATCATCTACCGGTTCGCGTTCAGCGAAATCAACCGTAAGCTCCACAAAAGCGTTTATAGTGTGCAGCATGTTATTTTAAACTCGAATGTACTCGATAGCACTAGCAATCGACTGTCCCGACCTGGCAGGCAGCCATTTTGGGTACCAATTTTATAGCAAGCAAAAATGCTACGTTACTTTTCCACGATACTTATTAAAAATATTTGGTTAAGCGATACGCCCGACTATTGGCAGTACGCGTTCCATATATTATTGAGCCACTCAGTCAGTGGCTGCACATATTAGTGAAAGTTTACATCAAATTCACCAACTTTACGAGACATTTAAAAGCTTGGAACATGACCAGATTGTATTGCATTGATTCAACGTTCATGGAAATTTCATCTACATTTTGACGCAACTGACAGTAAAATAGTACAAAACTCATTTTTTCCCCACCCATCATAGTAAATGGAATAGAGACATTTTTTAAAATGCGGATTTATCTGGTTGTAGCTCCAAGCCCTTCAAATCACGAAGTACTCTGATAATTTGCATTGATTTCATGAACCCTATGACGTGTAATTTTCGTGAATATTCGTGTACACTTGAAATAACAATCTCTATCTAGGACCCGTTCAAATGGTAGAGATCTGTAGTTAAGGGTCGTAACGGATCCGAGGTTTAACTTAAAAGCATAAGCAAAATTTCACCTTCAATCTTGGGTGCGGTTATGTGCACCAGTAAAAAATGCATGCATCCACTTTTACCCCTTCATCAGAATCTCTTCATAATCTAACCTGTGCGCAATTACTTTTTATTAATTATTATTGCATATAACTATTCGTATATTTCTATTTGTTTTTAGCGGTGTCAATAATACTATAATAAGGGGATAGTTGATTTATTTGGGGTTTACAGCCTAAATTAGTTCTTGCCATTCGTCATAACCAAATATGGTTTATTTCAGCCTATTCCATATTCCAGGAACATTTCATTCATCAACTCCTCGGCAGCACTATTGATCACTCTTCTACGTGCTCTCTTGGTTAATTGCCAACTTCTGCTCTGCCATCATGTCCCGTCCGTTCAAATCTCATTCGTGAAGTACATTTTACTGGATTTTTCCCTTTTTCGTCTATCGTTTTCGAATTAATTGCGTTTATTCGGTCACAGTAATAGTGGACACGGTACATAATTTCGGTTCAATCGCCGCAATGAACTATCGCCTTCGGTTTTCCCATGGTATTAATACTATTAAATATAATTATTGTAATTACTATTATGCGTACACAGTGTACAAACAACTTGGTCACGAAATGAAACGGCTTTGGGCGTACAAAACAACAAAATAAATATTAGCGTTGTACCGTCGGTGGCCATGCTTAATTAGGATAAGTGTAGCGCCTACGCCCACGTATGGGCGGCATATAGAATATTTACATAACAGACAATGGCGATACATTTTTTTTTAATACACAACATAATTGGCTTTGTTGGTTTTTTTACTAAATTAAGCTGTTGAACTACAGTAAAAATTAGCGCCCACAATTCCCTTACACGTGTACATGAAGGTCATTGTTAGCTAACTATAGGCTGATCACCCCTGGAATGATTTCACTCACTTGCAATTTATGACCAATAATGTTCCTCGCAATTTTTTTATCGGGCACTTTAATATTGTGTCGAACTGTTCATTATCTTACTATCACACTGCTGTTTCAGTTTTCCCTTTATTCTAATAAATTGGAATTCTTATAGAAAACAGATATTTACATTTTAATATACATATAACAAAGGAAGCATTTTTACTGGATTTCAATCATTTTCCCAATTACCACAGGGAAAATGGGGTTTTCTGAGTTCAGTTTTTAAAATTGGAAGTAAATATAGTGCCTAATAAAAATTATGTGTACAAATTAAATCATAGTATGATTTAATTACTCAACTCTGCTTTTTAATGAGTATTTTTTTCATGTTTTCAGCTTAAAACAATTGTATTGTATTTTAAAAACACAATTCTATATTTTTAATACTTAAGCCAGGCCGGTGAACTTGGTAATTAAAAATTACAAATAAAAAAATCGGTTTAATTTAACATTATTTGCCATCGAAGCATTAATTAAAAAGCAATCTTATACATTATTTTTAGAAAAGTCGATTAATTATTTGTATTGAGCAATTAATTAATATTTTGTAAAGACTTTTGTCTAAAAAGGAAAGTTTGTATTGGCATGTGATTTTTAATTAAAGCCTGTATAATGTATTTTCTAAATGTTAACTTAATACCGGCGGTAGTTACTCAAATTTAAAAATTACTCGTAATTACTAGTAAACAAGTTTAAAAGTATCACAAATGATAGTAATTAAAAGTCATTAAATTAAAATACAATCATTTTTTTAAAAATATTCTATCATTATAATAGTATTTTTAAAAAATCAACTTAATCCCATATTATGTATCCCTATCCAACGTACTTTACACACTTTAATTAAAATGCCAACAACTATAAATTGTACACACAATAGTCAAACAAATTGTTAAGTTAAAACTTTATTAATTATCTAAAAAAAAGTATTGTCAATTAGTCGAGATGTTATATAATAGATATATTATAAGGTAATGTTTCAAAAACCACCTGCTGCGTTTCAAACTTTATCAAAATTTAACAAAAGTCCATTGTTTTGGTTAATCTGTCCTACTGAAGTTCATTAATGTTATAACAGACTCAACTATTATCTCTGAAGTTTTTTATGATTTCATTAAAACCGACGTCCAGAGCTGATGTATATTTCTCTGGGAAAGGACGCCTTCCTCCCCCATAACAATAGCTTTTGCCACAAGTCTGCAGATGTGATAAATAATACTGTCTATACAATTTCCATATTTTAGCTTCATTTTTTAGTTTTTTAACGCCTTAGCTACCATACTATCCATTGCTCGTTCAAATTAAAATAATTTATTAACAATTGCAAGCTCTTAACTGAAGTTTTCTTATAATAAAATATTATAATGTAATTGCACGGTACACGTGTAAAAAACAAAAGATACCAATTTGGAAGATGAGCTTAAAAGTTTTTATTTTTCAATAGGTTCTATTCATTTTTTTAGAAAAACTATTTCAATTTTTTTCGTGGTTATTATTTACACAATATAAAAAGTTTATTAATTTAAATGTTTGTCTAATTCCAGTTGCTAAAATTAAACTTACTTCTTTTAACCCGCGCAACGCTAATCCTTGACTGTACAATTTGATATGAATTTGATTATTTGATTATATTAATATGATTTGATAAGAGTCCTTTCTGTAATCCATTGCGGTTTATTAGATTTTAAACATAACTGAGAACAAATATTCATCATTGAATCTTCATTTCGTTTATGCTTTCTAATAATATTAACCTAAAGTTCTTTTCTCCTGGAGGTGCAATATTATATAATACAGGAAGCCACGGTAAAGGGATTTGTTTTAAAATTTCACTTATCACTCGCATAGGTCGGTTTAATTATTGTACATTCGTTTTCTTTGCGTATGATCTACTTAGCCAAACAGGTGCATGGTACTCTGCTGTAGAATATTTGTACATAATATGGTATAATTTTTACACCAAGTTTCCCTCGATTTAACTTTCATTTGTGTGTTCTCGAGTGTTTCTTAGATGGCTGGATCGTGGATATTTCTTTTGACCCCCAGTTCTAAGACATATTCATGTAAAAACAATGACTTAGTCGAATTCCGCTAACTATGAATTATTTTTTCAGGCAACACGCTAGTGGTGTGGTTCTGTCTGGATTACCTGTGCGACCTGTTGTACGTCATCGACATACTGTTTCACTTCCGGACAGGATACCTGGAGGACGGTGTCCTGCAGACGGACGCGGTCAAGCTGCGCAACCACTACATGAACTCGACTACGTTCTACATCGACTGTCTGTGCCTGTTACCGCTCGACTTCCTCTATCTGTCCATTGGCTTCAACTCGATACTCCGGTCGTTCCGCATTGTGAAGATCTACCGGTTTTGGGCGTTCATGGACCGCACGGAGCGGCACACAAACTACCCGAATCTCATACGGTCCGGCAGTCTCATCCATTACCTGCTGGTGATATTCCACTGGAACGGCTGTCTGTACCACATCATCTACAAAAACAACGGGTTCGGCAGCAAGAACTGGGTGTACACCGACTCCGACGCCGAAGACACGGACACGGTCAAGCGGTACCTGCAGAGTTATTACTGGTGCACGCTGGCGCTGACCACCATCGGCGATCTGCCCAAGCCCAGGAGCAACGGCGAGTACGCGTTTGTCATTTGCCAGCTGCTATTCGGCCTGCTGCTGTTCGCAACCGTTCTCGGTCACGTGGCCAGCATCGTGGTCAGCGTGAGCGCCGGTCGGAAAGAATTCCAAGGTAAGACGTCCGAGATTAGATTGACGACAGACACGCGTCGCCAGTAACTTACATCCCTTAGCTAGGTCGGTTGGAAAAACGAAAATCAAAATGATCCTCGAAAATAATGGGTACCCAAAACACTAAAAAGAAATCGATTTGTGCTTCGAAGGAAACACCGATTTACTGTCTCTTATCAACACAACATTTTTATAAAGACATTTTCATGTAACGATTTCTCGTTATCCAGGACTGATAAAGGCAGCTGATAAGATTGGATGTTACCCAGATTTGACGGTTTAATCCGTCTCATCATTCATTTTTGTAGAGAGTGAAAGACAGGGGAGAAGAGGAGAAGGGAAAGTAAGAGGAGGGAGAACTCTTCCACTAGGAAGGGAGAGGACAGAAATAGATATGTTCATGACCCAACGACTCTCCGAAAGATTGGTAAAACTTTTTTTAAATTTGATAAATGTTCCTTCCCTTTTCTTTTTCTCCCCCCCCCCTCACTCTCGCTTACTATAGATTAGTGATAAGACGAATTATATCGATAAAATCGTCAAATCTGGAATAAATATAATCTGTTATCATAAATCTCTTATCACTAATCTTTTATCAATTGGTATAACAGCAAAATTCGTGTCGAATAATGCGTGTAAAAGCGAGATATGGAAAGCAGAGAAAAACGTTTGATAATAACCCAAAACCGGAAAAATGATATAGTTTGGAAACGAGAGAGAATGCTAAGAGTACTACATATTATTAATTTTGTTTTTAAGTTGTTATTTTCTTGAAGAAAAAAAAACAGACCAGTAATATACTATAACGTTTTACTTCAATATAATATCCCCAACCCCCCCCCCCCATTTCAACTAATCGGTTTTATGATTCCAAATTTAAACTTGGTATAGACACGCGTAAAAGAAATAAACACATCATTATAAAATCAATACTTATCGCATTTAAGCGAAAAATGTTAAAATATTAACATGTATACAGTTTGATATTAACTCAATGTTCAAAATATAATAACTATTTCTTTACTTTCTACAAAAGCATTTAACTAGGGTGAGTAATGATCTTGTGAAAAGGCATTATAGAGCTTGATGTTTAATGGCCCGCAAATGATTTTTAACAGCTTTTAATAATTTCCAGATTTTCTAGTGCACAGATAGAAAAACGTTTTTTTCCATCGAATAAAACGCTTGGAAAATAATAAGAAAAAAAAGAAGTATTAAAAGTTTTATTATTGTGGGAACATTAAACTTATTTCAGACAAAAGAAATGGCTTACAAACTATAAACAACTTTGACAATGTAAAATTGTAGAATTTTTAACTTTAAATCTAGTTTGACTGCAATTAATAATATATCATAACATTCAATAGTGAATATTCTCAGCAGAAAAGAACATAGTAAGGTTTATTGTGCTTTCAATTTTTATAAAATTTCTCATTTTTGTATTTTATTTAACAGAAATAGAAATTGGAGAAAAACAATATACATTTTTTTAGGAGATGTTAGTAGAATTTTCCATAGATAGTTTGACTTTTAGCAGCTCAAGAAACTAGCTCAAGCATTAAGGAGATAAGACACAATTTACACAATATATATATTATATATAATTCTCCACCGGTCATCAATTGCACTGTATTCGCCTAAGGAAATTATTGATAGATATGCAATAAATAGATTAGAAAAAACAGGGTGACTGGCAGACAATTTTTGGATTTAAATGTTTATAATGTTCTATTTATTATACATCTTAGTAGTTATCTGTAGGTAATCTTCTAGTCGATTGCTAGCATTGCAGTTTTTTGTCATGCACTACTGTCAACCTAACGAAAATACAGCTAGTATTTTTTTACAGAATTGACTTTAAAACAAAAAACAAAATTTGTTTTACTTTGAAACACAAAAGTATCAATTGTTTAAAAGAATAGTACAATAAAACTTTAGAATTAAGATCTAAAACTTAGTCCTAAAGTAGACTTTAAGCAAATTTCGACAACTTTCAACAGATTCGATTCGGAGAGTACTCACTAAGTAAAACTTACCACGCAATCCACGCTTTCAGATCGATAGAAACTTTTTCTATTTCCTTTTAACGTTGTTTGTGTCCAACTAAAATTATTTACGCCGCTAAATTAATTGAAAGAGACGCTTTTCCAAAATATATGTAAATTGAGTTATAAATATATATTTTATTCTTGGTAAAATGTTTTTACATTTAGTTTCGTTGCATATCTGAGAAAGTATTGTTTTGAAAATGATTGTTGTGCTTTATTTGTTTGTGTCTGGACCCATAATATCTTCCAAATCGCTAAACTGATTCTTTCAAGCAGCAAGTCTATAGTTCAGAAATCGTACTTGAAAAGCCAAAAATTCAAAAAGTTCACCCCTTCCTTTCAAAGTTGTAGAAAACGCCCAAACAATTTACATTTATTTCAAATTAAAATTATATATTTTTTTAATACAGCCGAATTAGTTCCAATATTGCACGGAATAGTCTTTAGAACGTTTTTCATTATTTTTCTTTTTAAGTTGTAGCTTTAAGGATTAAGGTCTGAAAATTAGACTGAAAGTAGATCTAGAATGTCTCTATAACATATTCTAGTTGCTTAAACATTGGTAGTCCGACTTCCTTTTATAATAGAAACACCAAAAAAGGGGGAAACTAAGTTTCTACGCGAGCGTGAATAAGCAAAATAACAGACAAAAGCTTTTTATGTAACATGATTTTTTTTTCAAAATGGAGATCACCCAGTGATATTATTCCTTGATTTGAATGTTTTTTTTAATTTATAAATTCAGACCACCGTTGTCGTTTTAGGCATGTGCATAGTATATCTTGTGAGTTGAGACTAGTGTGTTTTAATGGTGGTAGCAGCTGGATTGACCGTAGGTAGCCACTACAAGTCACTATGGATGCTGGTATTATTGTGACTGTTGATCTACGTCGACGTTTACCTTATGTCCAAAAAAACATAAAAACAGAATGTGGTTGAGTTAGCGAAAGCCATACATATAGCAAATGTCCTCTTAATAGTGGCTGCATAATGAGACGGTTTCCAACATGACCAAAATGCTTTCGGCGTCAAAGCCTCTCAATAAAAATTAGAACTTCCATTAAAACGATTTCCTTGGTCCGTAGAGTGCCTAAAACGCTTTTCGACCGTGGCATTATTGTCGGGTAAGCTTTTTTATATATTTTTTCCGGTGGCGACGGGCCGAGTGAGAATCTCCTTGTTACTATACCGTTTCGGTGTGGCAGCCTTAACGGGCGACCATAAATCTCAATTTTAATCCGGACTGCCATGCCGGTACGATAAAACAACAGCTATATATTCGACCCACAGGCAACCGGATTGCACACGCAATGCGACTTACGATTATTGTTATCACTAAAAGGGCAATATTATGCGCAAACAAGAACGCATTTTATCGATTTCCAGGCTAACTGAGTTTCCTTTGGCGGCGATATTCACTTTGTTGTCAAAGGACTGACTGCCCCCTCCCCCTTCTCGTAAACATTAAAACGCCCTGCTGCGATAAATCAACCGCGTACCCCGTTCGAATGTAACAATAATTATTCGAAAAACAATGGTTGACGTTTTGACGACAGTCGTGATCCCCCCCCCCCACCGGGGCCTATAACTATCTGTTATGTGCACATTTTCCAGTCGTTATTGCCATTACACGATCCCATGGCTTCGGCCGGTGAAATAATATGCAAACTCCATCATTGCTTGCCATAATTCAACGGGAAAGCGACACTGTACTTTCCGTTTACGCGTTCACGTCGATTCGCCCTAATCCGGGATAGGCCGCCATCCATACCGTACACATGTTAATACATCATAATTTTGTTATAATTTATAACGTTTTATTATTATTTGTATTATATATATATATATAACCTCTATAACGCGGCTTCTCGACACTTTCATGGAATTGCACAATATATTTCCGTACAGGAGATCATCGAAACACATTAACTACCATAATGTATATCTAAAGTTCTGGTTACACAATTGCTCTTAAAATACATTTTAAACTTGCGTTAATTAAACTGTTTTTTTAATCAAATATTTTTATTAAGTAAGACAAAGTACGATCTCTTTTTACTATAAGCGATACTCAGCCCGTTTGCATTAAGGTCATTTAGCAAAATTACGGTCAACTTTTGTATTGAAAACGTACAAAAATAAAAATAAATATATTCTAATAATTCAACCTAACATTTTTATAATTTCCAAATGAAGGTTGTCACAGAAACGTTTTATTCTCCATTCACCCAATAAACCCATAAGCCCAATTCCAGGGAGTGAGAAGTTCCATGGAAATTGTGATTGTCTTGGTTGTTTTGGAGTGGAAAAAAAATTACTTTTAGTAATACGGTTTTAACGCTAAACCAATATTTTTGAAAGAACCACTACCCTGGCGACAAATTCAAAACTAGATAGGGGAACATCATTCATATTGTTGGGACACACCTCAAATGTGACCCCTTAATTTACTATTGATTAAATGGTTTGTGTCCAAAAATCATCCTTTAGCAGACACTGCAGCTATACTATTCCCCTGTCGCTTCATTTCAAGTGACCTATCATTATTAGCTTAGGATAAGCAAAGAAATATGAGTGAATGACTAATAGTAGATGTTTTACCTTTCTTATTGAAGCATATTAATGATTTTTATTGACACATTTCCTTGACCTAAATACACCTTCAATGGACAATTTTGAGACATGACCCATGCATAAAATGACCCATTAATAATTTGTTTAATTTTGTTTGCAGATGGTACTGCTCAATGTAAGTAAAGACATGTAATGTTTACAAAACTATTCCAAATTAATTATTATACACGTCTTATTGTTGTACTTTTATACTTTCTCATTCGACATAATCATTTTAGCTGTTATTATATTATAAAACAATAGGTAGTGAATGCCAATATTAATGTAAATTTATTTAAATATTTATTTACATATTATCGTACCTAACTTACCTATTGTATGTAGGTATAACTTTTATAAATTACTCGTAGACATGTTAACAGGGCTGTATTTGGGAATTTGACATTATACATACAAATTAACTGCTTACAGGCGGTTAAAACCCAATTGAAAATTATATAATAACCCCAAAACTTATGAAACAAAAGAAATTTCAAATAGACCATAATATTATGAATTTTATCGGAAGCTTATAAATGATAATCCTTTATTGATTTTTTCTAAATGTGGCCCTGCTTGTAATGAAGACCTGGCCGACTAGTTACAAAGCATGCCAATCATAACGCCAAGTATATTATGCAGATTGCAAACTAGTAAACATTATTACGAAGCATTATGTGTCTTTACCTACGTAAAATATTCCGCTTACTAATATTAATATTATTCTATATTTTATTCTTATTTACTATACTACTTTAAAATAGATTAGGTAGTTTGTTATTTTATTCTAAAAAAATCTATCTGGTGAAAGACACTAATTTTCTTAGAAAATTTGAGTATTTTAAAAATATTTTTTTTCCTTTAATTGTAGGTACCTACATATTTTTCAATACGTTAACAATTTTTGTCTTCATCTCTTATACGTAAGTTAAGTATGGACCGCGTTTTTCAAATAGGAACATATTTTTTAGTACCATTGATATGTAGACAAAAGTTTTAAAAAATGTTAGTGTTTGAATTTTTAATTCTCATCAATTTTTTTCCTTTGACTTTGCAAAGTTATTACATTTGCCATTATAATTTTCACATGTAGATCCATTCCAGTAGCTCATAAAATTGAAAAGTTTTAATGTTGAAATCTTTACATTATCATAGTAAACGAAGAGAATGATGAAATTTTAAAATTCAAACTCTAAAATTTTTTCAAATTTGTTGTCTACATATTTATAAAGTTAAAAACATATGTTTCCATTAAAAAAAAAAAACAAGTCCATACTTCTTTTGCGTATAATGGACGAAGATAACATGTTCTAAGTATTGGAAAATATAGTAAAATATGTACCTAAAAGTATAGGAAAAAAATAATTTTCAAAATATTCATATTTTCTGAGAAAATGAGTGACTTACTTCAGATGGATCATCCTGTATAGTCTTAACCGTATTAAAATATAATGAAATATATCCTTAATGTCGATTTTCGCTGTATTTCTGTTTGCAGCTAAACTGGATGGTGTCAAAACGTATATGCGAATGCGTAGAGTACCAAATCACTTACAAACCAAAGTCATTAAGTGGTTTGATTACCTTTGGTTAACGCAGAAGTGTTCCGACGAGGAAAGGGCTATTAGTTGTTTGCCAGGTATTAATCGCATAAAATGTCATATAATATAAAATTAAAATAAATAAAAACTTAAGTACATACTACTTAGAACTTAAGTAGTAATTGATGTCGCTGCAAAAATGGTTTTTTCGATTTCCTCTTCAAGGTCAATAGGTAGTATAAATCAATAATATTTTGTTCCTCAATGCGTTTAGACAAATTAAAAGCTGAAATCGCAATAAACGTGCACTTAGACACGTTGAAGAGGGTGGAAATATTCCAAAACACAGAAGCCGGTTTTCTCTGCGAATTAGTTCTGAAATTAAGGCCAGTCCTGTTTTCTCCCGGAGATTACATTTGTAGGAAAGGTAAGAGTCGATCAGTTGACATGTTTTGACAACGGCCATATAAACACCGGTTTTTGTTTTTTAATTCCCAGGCGAAGTGGGAAAAGAAATGTACATAGTGAGCAGAGGCAAATTACAAGTGGTCACCGATGATGGCAAATCGGTGTTGGCCGTACTGCGTGCAGGGTCGTACTTTGGTGAAATCAGCATACTCAACATGGGCACAGCAGGTGAATGATTTTTATGATTGTGCTAATGCCATCGATATTGGTTTTCTAAAAAAATGTTTTTATTTGGCCGACCAGGTAATAGAAGAACTGCTTCCGTCCGTTCGGTGGGGTACAGTGATCTTTTTGTGTTGTCCAAAAAGGACATGTGGGACGTGCTCAAAGAATATCCCACAGCTAGGATTAGGCTCGAAGCAATAGCTACAAAACGTCTAGAAAAATACAAAACCGATCCTAGTCCGGACGACAAGTTAGAAGGTAAGTCAAGCACATTACAATTACTAGTGTAAAGTCCGGATTTTAAAAAAAAACATTGTTTTATCCTGAAGGTTTAGTCGGTAGGCGGTGTAAATCTACTCCCGGAATCGTGGAGAGCCAAATAAAAGTGGACGAGGAAATGTGGATGCAATCCAGTGAAGCACTTTTGAGACCGATCAACCAAAATAGATCTTCATTTAGTCCTGCCGCCAGTCCGAGTTTTAGGTACACAATACGCTACTACACCAATATGATTTTACTGGTCTTTATTGATTTTTTTAACAATGATCTATTTGAATGTATTTAGATCGAACGCGGCTGCGACTCTGGAGTCTCCTCTGTCCAGCAAGTATTCTTTAGATCAAGAACATCACCATCACAATGCTCAAGATGCTCAAAAACCCACTACTACGACGCCCAGTAAATATCAACTAAAACTATTATCTAATTTAAGATATTAATTATATTAAAAAAAAATCCGACGGAATTTCCGTTTTAACAGGACTTCAAAAGTTTACAAATTATTTTAGAACTTTTATTTATAAAAATTCCAAAACATTAATTGTTTAAAAAAATCCAATCAAAAATAGTTCAAAACAAATTTAAAAGCAAAACTCGATTTTAGATAAAAAAAACAAAACACATTTATTTAATTTAACCCAAACCTAATTTGGTCTTGGATATATTCTTCTTAGACGTGCTCTAATTAAATTCCTTCCAAAGTTGTATAACCTCCGTTTTATGATGTTTTCAGCTGAGTACTGATTTGAATAATTTTTTTTAATTTTTGTTTCATATTAATGTATAAATTTATTTATAGTTTCAAACTACTTTTGGAATAGTCTTCTTCTGTTTCCCCTTTTTTCAACTACTTGCCAACCTCCAATTGATACGTCTCCCACGTCATTTTCGCATACACTAGCCCTCTTTATATCATTATCAGTCGCCTGCAACCACCTTTTTTTCGGTATTCCTCTTACGTTTATTTTCATTTCTATTCATACTGCTTCTGATTTCTCTCTCCTATGTCTAAACCATTTCAGTCTATTTTCCCTCATTTTTTCCGCTATCAAAGCCACGCCTGTGCTACAAAACATCTTAATTACTTCAAATTCTTAATCGCGCTCACTACGTCACCGCTTATTGCCTCTTATCCCTTTGTTTCCTCCCCTCTGTGGTCCGTCCAATAGTCGCCTTCTTCCTTCTAGCCCAAACCTAACAGATCCAGCTCTCGCTTATCAGTATTATCTTGTCAGGAGCCGTTATCGACTGTCTGTCATCACTAATCTTTATCAGCCGTAATCTTTACTCCGCCGGTAAAACATAGATCCATCCGTGTTGATATTAATACTGTGGTGTTTCCGCACAGGCACGGAACCGTCGATGGTCTCGGCGTTGAAAGCGGAAATCAACCGTCTCCAAGAACGACTGATCGCCGTGGAAACGGAAAACCTGTACCTGAACAAAAAGGTCACCCAGCAGAGGTGGGACATGGACCACAGGCTGGCCGAAATCGAGATGCAGATCTGCAAAGACAACGGCAGCAGCAACGGCAGCAGCTGCGACGACAACGAACGAAACAAGGAGTCGATAATTTAACACATTTTCGGATTCAAGTCCGCCAAACGGATCCGCCGGCAAAAGACTGACGTCAATGTTATTTTCGATTATTATTATTATTATATTGTTAAATTGTTTCATTATTATTTTTTCAATTGTTTTCAAATTACCAGGGTGATGTTTAACTTGTCCAGCCTCGTCCGGAAACGGTCATAATAATATTAACTTAACCCTCCCTCTCGATAGATAACAATATTACTTATTATAAGAGTATTATTGCCCATATTTTTGTGCGACGGCCAGCGTTTATATATTATCTTCTACTAGTATGTTATTATTCGTTTATTATTACATCGCTTTGGTTTTCGCCAATACTATCCATCCAATGTATAAAAACAATACGGCCAAATACGAATGACGATTGTGTATTAAGTGCACCTAACTTTGACTACTCGAATTATAGTTTTTATTAGATTCACACAGCAAACAGAGTGTGGTTTGTTTGCAAATTATAATAAATAACTGATGACTATTTATACCTTCCATTAAAAGTTATACACGTGTGTTTATTAATATGTACATTTTTTTTTTACAACTATAACAAAATAATCTGGTGTTGAAAATTATGTTTTACAAAGAAACGGTTCACCTTCCTCGAAGGTATTCACCCATAAAGATTTAGGATCAGATACTAGATTATTGTTGTTGGTTATTGAAAAAAATAATATTATAATTATTGATAAACGGTAAAACGTGAGAAAGCGAAACAGAAAGCGAGATACGGTGTCCGAATTGATTGTTTTTTTTTAAGTTTCATTTTCCCACATTAATTTTTATATACTTAACGTTATTATTAATATTAATATAGTTTATTTTTGGGACCAATATTATAAATTGAGCGTACCGGGCACTGTTTTACAATAATGTATATTAGAGCCGAAACCAAAAAAAAAATTGCATTCGATTTGGAAATATAACATATTTATACATTTTTTTATACTTTTTATTATTTCATATTCAGTCCAAATTGCATTAATTATACCTATATTATTATGTAATTCATATAATACACATACCTTCAATTTTTTGTAGGTATTTTAAACTCGAAATATTACTATAAAGTATTTATTTAAACATTATAATATATACAAGTTATATGTTTTAGTGGTTTCACAGACACTTAGTTAAGTAGTTGTAATATTGTACTATGAGCTTTTTCGCATACATACATAAATACCTATATTTTGTTGAAATATTACCAATTTTATTACCCTTGTATTATTATTAATCATTTTAAGTGTATTTTTTTTACTAAGCTTTCATACTAATATCTCTTTATTTACTAACCTTTATACGATTCACGGGCAATTATATAATTTATTATGATTTTTTTTTCTGTCTACACATTTTAGATGGTATTAAAATTGTATAGAAAATTATATTATAATATATTGTACATAGAACTGACATGTAAAAAAAAACACGTTATATTGTAAATAAAATAGTAATATTATTGTAATAATGTAATTTTTGTTAAAATTTGTTTATGTTATGTTGCTTGATTATAAAAAAAAAAAAATTAATGATGTAAACAAAGTGTCGGACAAGAAAAACGTAACATGCAATGCAATATTTAAAGCATGTCTTAATTACTGTTTTCATAGTGTATATCATTACATATTACTTGACTGCAGCCCATTGTTTTTTTCCCCGTCTATTAATAATATTTAAATTGCATTTCTATCGTTGATATTATATTATACATATATTTTTCACAAACTACAAGTAATATCCTCTTGTAAATGCGTTCGGATATAAATTTAAAAGAACTACAAAATTACTCGAGTGGATGGTGCATAACCGATCAAGTTTTCTGTGGACACTTTGTTATTTAAAATTTGTAATCGTTTTTGATTAAATGTGTATTGGTCGAAAAATTGATAAACACATTTTTCACCATGTCATAGTGACATACGTTGTTAAATAGAGTTTAAATAAAATTTTAAAATATTATCATATTCTATGTTATTTTTATGTTGATTGGGAAACTTTAGGTTATGGTCTTCTGTTGCCCAATAAAAAACTATGATCCTGCCCATTTAATCTTACAACTGTTTTAGGTATAGATCACTCGACGAAAACAATACTTAAATTACAAAAATAACTAACCAACGACGTAAATATATTTTTTTAGGAAATGCAGTCCATAGTAATTGTGTTTTTTGAAAGTTGCAATAATCAGTGTTAGTAAAATGGTTAGTATAGTTTGTCAGATACCTATACCGATAATGCAACTTTTTCGGTGACAGATCATCAAGTGTAATATTCCCTAAAAATTTTTATTAAAACTATATAAATTGTTAAGGTGACATTTATTAATTAAATAAATACAATGTGAATCAAATATCTGAGTTGACTATCAATTCTTTCTTCAAATCACTTTTTGGAATACGTACTAAAAATTTGTGTACCTTAACTGTGTCGCCGATAATTGGTCCAGTCAAAATAGTAACAGATCATTCTTATTGGTACAAAGAAAATGGTTAAAATAAGAATATAAATTAATTTGTTGTGTATATTAGAATAAAATGTTGAAAAAATCCTATATTTTGAGATGGAACAGAAATGTATTACTTGTATAATAACAAATAACCAAGTAAATATCCAAGAGTAAAATAAATGAGACTATACTATTGATTTCATATTCACAATTTTTTTTTAATTCAATGAAATGGTGTTGTTTGGAAAATAAAAGTCGAGAAGGATTTTCAAAAATTAGATAAATAAATCGACAATAAAACATTTTTTACTTGGATATTTATTTGATTCTATTTTAGAAAAACGAATTCTTAACCAGCCATATTAAAAACAAGAAAGATTGGAAACTTGAAAATGTTGTCTTCGTGTGGACTCGTTAGCTCATTGTTTAAATACTTATTATCATATCAGGTTAGCCCATTGTGTTTTTAATAGTTTCAGGGTATTCACTTCAAATGGTAACTTAGCGATATTAATATATTATAAAAAAAAACATAATAAAAAAGAGTACTTATAATTGATTATTAAAAATTAGGAGTGCTTCATATACATTTTTCCCAAATTCACTTAATACACATGACTAGTTTACCTAGTACTTACTATGTTCAATTTTCTAATAATATACTACCTAGTATATTCATTATCAATTAAAATGTTTAAAATATACAATTTTTACTAGAAATTGTGTAGGCAGTGTAGGTTTGATGTCGCATAATGCAAATAATAACGCAAGGAACGGCGGCCCAACGATTGTCAAGTTTATTAATTTATTGTTTGAAATAAAACCTAATGGAAATTTTTCAAACCTACGTGATATGAGTATACTATAGTTTTATAAGTGTATGAATTATGCGTAGCGTTACAGCGGATTGTTTTTCTGTACGATGTACTCAATGCTATTATTCGCACAATTTGTTTTCGCATTATATGAACAGGTGAAGTTTCCAATTTGTATTGCCGACTAGTCTTAGGATTGCAACTCGATTGAATTTTTTTAACCGCACTTCTAGAGTTACTTTCAAGTTACATACTCGCACTTAATATTAACATTTACCAAAATAATATTATTCTTCATTATGGTGACTTTCAGTTATTTTTTAGTTGTTTTATCCGTCTGTATTTGTACGTTTGCCAATGGTATGCAAATTGTATTTATTATTTAACCAGAAATCGTGGATTAAATATTATTTTATGCACAATGTTCCTAGACAATCTATCATTTATTTAACCACCTTTCATTTCGCTATACACCTACCGCATTTTTAGATTTATTCGAGGAGGATGACTTAGTATTTTTTGCTGGCCAAAATAATTGTAATTATATTTATATTTACCTTATACTTATAATACTTATGTAAATGTTATCAGAATTTGTACACGAAAAGCTCTTTCAAACATACTTATTAAAAAATATTTTATTATTACTTAGTATTGTAGTCGATTGGTAATTGGTTCGATTATAAAATTAATTTGCTAAATTTATAAATGTTTTTATTTTATAATTTCAGCGACCGGCTATTGGATGTTTGTAACTGAAGGTATGTAATACAACAATATGGGTCTACTAGACCTACATTTTAGGGGATGCTAAAATTATGTATACCCGACTAAACATAATTCTTATCTTCAAATGATTACATACAAAATAATATATTTGAAAACAATATTATTATAAATTCAAAATTTGTACAGAGGATGTACATTATTAACCCTGCGTTACTACTCTATACAAGTGTTACACCGCTGCTACTCTGGGTCTCCTGGACCCAATTTCTCAAATTCGACTATTTTTCTACTCAAATTCCCAAATATACTTCTAGAACATTTATTTAACATAGTATATACAAATTCCTTTTTTATTTATAATATGTGTATAATAAGGTTAAAAAATGAACATAAATAATACCCTATCTTAAAAAAAGGAAACCAAATTTAAAACAAAAAGTAACCATGTACCATAAAATAAATATTTTTACTTTTTTATTTATAATGTATGTAACATAAATTCTAATTTGTTTTACAAAAAAACAAAATATATAATGCTATAAGAAACCCTATAACACTGTTACTACTGTGGGTCTGATGGACCCAAAATTATTTTTAAGTATAATTTATCAAAACAACTACACATGATTACCGGCAAATGATAAAATCTTTGTCTATACCCTACACAACGAAGGTACTGAGAACGATAACATTTTACAGTATAGCAAATATACCAACATAAGAAAATTCAAAATCGTATTTACAATTCCGTCTGTTGGACCCAGGGTAGCAACGCAGGGTAACATTGTATGCGTACAAATCAAGGATTGGGGTTTGAATTTTTGGAGGTGCTAAAGTCTCCCTAGCACCTCAATGATTGCGCCTATAATATAGGTTATGTTATAAAATATAATTAAAAAATTTCTTGCAGATGGCCAATGTCCGGAACCTAATAATCCAAGTAATTAGACATTTTATATCCATTAGATTTAAATAATAAATAAAAAGATCAACACCATAGTAATTTATTTTACCAAGATAAAGAAAATTGTTTCTACATTTGAATGCAAAGAATAAAGCGTAAAAAAATAATTAATTGGCGAAAAAACTAAATATTTTGCTCTATAAGTTATGCTAAACTATTTTTTATTTGGTAAAAGTGCACCGACTTCATTACATAACAATTACATAATTTGATAAATTTATTTGCGTGTAAGTATTATTGCTTGCACGACAAAAAAAGATTCTTCACAAAAATATCTTTTTACAGTAATACCTTTTAGCTAAATTTATTAACTTATAGTATTAACATAAAATCGTTTCAATAAAGGTCAATATTTTTTTTGTACACTTCATAAAATTTTGAATTTACATTTGTTTTTTCTTATAATACACAAACTGAGTTAGAACTGTTATTTAATCAAATGTGTGGAAAGAGGTAAATATTTAAATGCAGATATTCTTACTATTATTAAAGTGATCATTTTATCGTGAACCACTTAATATCTCATTGAGTTTACTTAATAATTGATTTTTTTTTTCATAGTGTTTTTACATATATAATGTGATCTCAATCTTCCACAAATTTTGATGTTCTTACCCCTCTTCCGGACTTATCATTTTTATACCAACTTTTGAAACTTTAATGGTAACGCATAAATTTCATTAAATGTTTTAATAGAGAACCTTACCTGCCCTTTCCCTTCCGTACTAACTTTTAAACTCTTATAACTTCAAAACTGGTCATCGGCCAAGCAAAATGTTAAGTAAAATATTCTTAATTCAACAAGTTAATGCAACGGATGCGTTAGCATTTAAATTTCAAATGTTACTATTAAAACTAAGTTGGGGGGAGGGGGTAAAACAAAAAAAATTGTGAAAAATGTATAAAAACACTATGAAAAAACAAAAGTAATTTCTTATTAAACCCAATAAGGTATTGAGAGCTTCACTATGAAATGATCACCGTGTATTTTATTATTAAAAAAAACTTTTCTCTTTTATAGATATGTGTATTATTTTGAAAAAAGGGTGAGTTCTAATATTATCGAAGATTTAATGCGATTTAATGAGATAAACGTTTTAGTTTTTTGCGCCTAACGACATTATTATAATATATTTTGGACAACAACTACATAAATAACAAAAAAACGACGTGAACTTATTACTTTGGTAGGTCAAAACAATACCGTTTTATTTTTTCAGAGATTAATAATAGTAAAAAAAAATACGTATACTGTCTACTTTATGTTTATTACTAAATATGGCACTAAAGACAAACATATGCCTAATTAATTAATTTAGAGTTGGAAAAGAGTTTTTATATTGATTTTGTATGGGCAAGGGTGGGTTTTTTTTTAAATGTTGTATAAAGTAACTTTAGTGAATGATTTCTGATCTGTTGACTGGCTTTTACAAAAAAACAAGGTTGGAAATAGAGGGCCCCTCGCGTTATTTAAGAAATACCTATGCTGTTGTATTGGATATTTTTAAAAACTAAGGTAAAACTATTTTAGCTTCGATGCGGAGCTGAGAAGGTATTGTTTTTACAATAATGTGTTTTTTATTTTTTTTTTTGTGTCTGGACCTACGATATATCGTAAACCGCTGAACCGATTTCTTCGTGTAGCAACTCTATAGATCAAAAATCATACCTGGAAGGTACTTTACTCGGCCAAAAATTTAAAAAAGTCACCCCTTCCCCATCAAAATTGAGAAAAACACCCAAATAATTTTGCAAATTTTTCAACTTAAAATTACGATACTTTATAACTTTTTTAAAAATGGTCAAAAATGTTCCAAATTTATATGAATTGTTCTTCAAACATAGTACTATTGATAAACATTAACAAAACAAAAAAATATCATAAATCCTTTCTTCTAGAAGGGATATAATTTTTTTCTTTATTTCACTTTTTCAAGCCAAGTTTTAAAGATTTAGATCTGAAAATTAGACCGAAGGTAGATCTAAAATGGAACTATAACATTTACAATTTTCTTAAAAATCTGTAGTCAAATTTTTTTTAATTAAGGACAAACCCCAAAAATAGGGTAAATTTACACTTTGGCCGTAGTCAGTTTTTAGGTTGCTATGTGCGAGTGAATCAACAGTCAATATGTAATGAATAGATTTTTATTATATTGTTAATTATGTTATATGGGTAACTATGACAATACATTTTTATAGACAGACGATCATCCCTTATCGTATCCACACTGCACAAGACTAAATATTAAATTTTAAGTACATTATTGCTGGTCCCACGATATCTTCTAAACCGCTATAACTGGTTTGAACATACTATCCACAGATTCGCATCGAAGCGTTTATTTAAAAGTGATTATATCACTTTCAGTTATAATAAAATCTGTAGACCTCTCCGTCCCCACTATGCTCCGACACCACTGTACTGGCTTTTGTATTTTAATAATTGGTTTCAGTAATGATGACTACAATGCTGTCAAAAGTGAGTTGGCCAGCAGTGAAGACGACTTTCGCAGAAAAAGGTTTCGGAGTGCTACGATTGATCATTATATAACCCCTCATCACATAAAAAAAGGTGTTCGGGATTTCATAAACCAAACTTATAGAGATTAATTTCATTTCATAGACAATTCGACAATATTATACGATTTTTTTATTGTGTTAGTTTTATTAAAACTTTCTAAAATTATAAGAAAGTAAAAAATTGTTCAAAGACAAATAAATAACGTAGTGTAACCAATAATTATCATTGTAAAAATAATAAAATATAATATTATTAACATAATTTAATATATCAATATAAGTACTATAGAAAATTATTGTCATAATAATAATAATAATAAAATAATACCATTATTTTAATAAATTATAATCGTGTGTTGCTTTTTTTCCCCCCTCCAAAATTGTCTTTGTTTTTATCTAAATGATAATAATCAACCATTGGTGTACCATAACTTTTGCATTAGTATAAAATATGTAAATATGGACGAAAAATGTCTTTGCAATGTTTGATTTTCCCAAGTATACAATCTGACTTACACACTGTTATGGAGATATGGTTGCTGAAAGTGTTGTTTCGTTATTTGATTGTGAGAAAAATAATCATTGTAAACACATGTGTTTTATACAACAAGTTCTTTTATTTATGGTAAGTTTAATATGAGTTTCACGAGACCACGAGATACGAGATAATAACGCAAGGAACGCAGGAATTTTTTTTCTATACAATTTCAGTACAATAAGTATATATGATGACACAGGTAAATTTTAGATATTGAAAGCATGAAAAGAGAAGCCGTCCACTGACGACACTCTTAGGCAGAAATTATTTAAAAAAAAGGTTCTACGATTCTGAAAAAGCTTTGGAAAACTATTTTTTAGCAATGATACAACAACAACATACAAAATATAAAACAGCTAATAGTTGGCCATTAAAAACCACAAAGACCATACTGTTGATTGCTAAATCTAATCTTTTATTAGCCATAATTGTAATGCGATTGATAAAAAACTTTAAAGAAATTTTAAATTTAGTGAAAAAAGTCACAATTTTATTGGTATTGGCAAAATTTACACGTCTTGACGGTACTCTCATTTTTATTTTGTTAGGTATTTGATTATGATAAAAAATACTCAATCTTGAAACATATGTGTAACACACCAAAGGCAGAAAATATGATAACATTTTTATTACGTTTCTTTCAAGGACATATTTTAAATACAAAATGGTTTAAAATTGTTAAACCTACAAGTCCAAGCTTTATGATGTTTAATAATTTCAAATATTATTTTGTATTTAAAAATAAATATCTACAAAAAACTGGGGCTAAATCGGATTAGTATTTTTAAAATTACAGCTATAACAATAGTATAAGGTTATACATGAACATATAATTCAAAAGCGTTGTCAATGATAAGCATAAAATTTGATGTTTAGTATTGCAGTGAATACTATTTGGTTGTAGATAGTCCAACCATAGAAATTTACTTAGGTCAAAGTACAATAATTGTATAAAAATTTCCCCTTTTTTGGGGGGGGGGGAGGAGTTTCTTTAATTAAAAAAAAGAAACTCTTGCCAAGTGGCGGGGGTTAGCATATAGAATATCTTGATTTTTATTTTTTGGAGAATTATTTAAAATACATCATTTATTATCAAACAATTAATTAACAAATAAATATGTAAGCAAATGTATAGGGACAAGTGTGATTTTATGGTGTAGGTACAACTGTAACGCTCTGTAGTGTATCAACTATATCAGACAAAGTTCTGAAACTCTTTACTGCACTTTTACGTGTCACGGGTTAAAACGTTAACGGGTGTACAGAACACTAAATCCAGAGGCCCAAATTTAGGTTTCCAATCGATAATGTGTTGGGTTTTATTTTGTACACGGAATTTTCGTCGAGAGAAATGCGCTAGTGTATTATACAAAACAACACACGGTTAGAAAAACATATTTTTTGCGTTGTATTTACTTTACATTCGCATCGATACGAAAAACATTTTGTGAGTAACAATAATACACGTACAAATACTTGATAACGGTCTACGTAACCGGATTTTTCCGCGCTATTAAGTGCGGTAGTATATAAAACACCTTGAAGTGTTGCGTGCAAAAACACACAATTTTTTTTTTTACCATTATTTTTGGTGTCTTATTTTTTTGAGTATTTTTCGGATCGTTGTGAACGACATTTGATCAACAGCCCGCAAACAGCACTTCTCTCTAAATCAATACACAACCACAAAAACAATTTTACGAATTTTCCATTTAGAACACAATAAGATTTTGGAAAACAATTTGAAATCCACATGGTTTTCAATTTAAAATATGTGGGATTAATTTTTGTACCCCGAATTGTTCCGAATTTCGTCTTCGATCGCTTCAACACTCACTGCCCTTAATCAATTGTCTTATCTCTCTAGTCTTCGTCTACAGTTTAACAACACACCTTTCTCTGCCCATCTTCGTGTTCCCGATATTTTTATCTCACCTAACTTCCTAGGTCATATAGCTAAAGACCTGACTGGCTTATTAGTCAATTCTCTTTTTAATGAATTTTGTTCTTCCCAATTCGAATTTTTTTTCTCTGGGTGCACGGACATTCGGGTATTTTTGGTAATGAAGTTGCAGATAAGCTAACGTTCTCTATAAGCCTCTACACCTAACCCTCCTATTTTTGAATTCCACACACTGTGAAACCTTGAAAACAACAGTATGCCAAATGTTATAAAATCAAATAGTAATATATCGACTTGAACCGAACAAAACAATTTTTTTTTTTTTATATTTTCGTATTTAAGGCATTTATACAAATAAGAACACTACAACAACAACACCAGAAAATACAAAAACAATTTAGTTTTACCGGCAAATGAATAGATTTTCTATTCAAACCTATGCGTCGATCAAATATCTGTTTAAATATAATATAAAGTATAAATTTACAAAAATAAATGCTTTTATACTAATAGAGCTTTTGCTTTCATTTTGATCAGGATTACAATATAAGCGTGAAGAATGTAGTGAAATCTAGAATTTTGGTTTTAATGCTTATTATATGTGATTAGCTCTTCAAAAAAATATTTTTAAAAAATGAACAAAACAAAATTTTAGGTAGGGAAAAAAATTATTTTCTCTCTGGGGTAGTTGAGAAAAATTTTAAATACTCAAAAAGGGTAGCAATCCTATTAAATGATGCCCATTTAGTGGCACTTACAAAAAAAAATTTTAATTTGAAAGTTAGTATGTGAATAAAAAATATAAGGGATTAAAAAGAGTCGTTTATAAATAAATAGTAAATACAATTGTAATAATAATATAAGTTATATCAATAACCAATAGTTAGTAACTTTAACAAATTATTTTTGTTTTCAATAATATTTACATAAATTATTAATCACTATAGTTATAATTAACTGTTTATTCAACATGGTAATAATAAAAAAACAATTATTTAGTTAACAATTTAGGTAACACATGGTATAGTGTTATAATAATATAAAAGGTATCACAATTAAGCTTTATGTAAAAAACAAAAAGCATTGACAGATGTAGGTCCTTTAGAAATTTGTAGTTTGGTCATTTTATTAAATAGCCTTTAAATTCTGAAAATATTAGTTTTAAAATCATAACTAGATAGTATCAGCAATCAGCCCACTAATTTTAGCTTCGATGCGGAGCAGAGATGCTATTGGTTTTACAATGATGTGGGCTTTTTCATTTGAACAAACTAGTATGAGTTTTTTTTTAAATGTTGTCTAAAATAACTTTAGTAAATAATTTCTGATCTGCAGACAGGCTTTTACAAACAAGCACGATTGTAAATCGAAGGTCACTTGCGTTGCTTAAGAAATAGCCGTGTTGGTGCATTTGGATATTTTTAAAAATTAAGGTAGAGCTATTTTTTATGTTAATAATTGGTTTCAGTAAAGGTGACTACAATGATCTATTGGATTAGTTAATTTTGCCCTTATTACCTATTGTAAAAATCTTTGGATAGCAAAACAAACTAATATTAAGAAGCACTGTCCAATAAAGCTTACTGTAATGTCTAGGCTTAATGAAAAAACCCGCATTCAATATTTGAACCCCATATAATACTCCGTATTATTTTATTGAATAGGCAACTTAATACACACAATGCCATCACTCTTATCGAATATTACCGGCTACCTTAATGGCCAACATGGCTATAAACGGTCATACTAATTACATGAACATGGTTCACAGATAAGATTTCTTATAACTTGTCAATATTATTCTGTCTTTTATACGTTTATTATTATTTTAGTATCACAACCCTAATGAGTGTCATATTACAGCCAAATAAATATAAATAAATATATTGCCCTTTACACTTTGCAATATTTCTATACTCGTAATTTCTTCTGGGTACATTTAACAACAAGGTACTCAGTTTTTACTGTATTTCGGATGTTTTACATGAATATTTACTATTTTTATTAACAGTTTTTTTTAGATATAGGAGGCAAAACAAAAAATGATTTATAGCTCGGGGTCATTCTAAAAATTTGTCCAAAACGTAACGCTGAATGTCACAGTCTGACGTCACATTCGGCAGCGGCGGAGGAAGGAGAGGGGAGAATAGAGATAATAGATTGGAAGAAAGAGATTAGAGATAAAAATAGAGATCAAATATAAGAGATAAAAGATAAGAGTTAAATTATTAGTGATAAGAGATTAGAGATGAGAAAAGTACCAAAAAGTTCCAGGGTCCTAAACTTGAATATAAATACATATACATCTGCCTATGTATCCGCTTGTATTGTGGATACTCGTTAGTTTTTATTGGGAAATACGGAAAACTTAACTGCCAAAAAAAAAAGGTCAAGTGAGAGAGAGGATCTATCCCCCATATCCTCCCCATTCCCCCATAAATACGTGAAAGGGAAGGATGTAAGCTACTGCAAATTAAAAATAACATGACGCATGTTATTTTTTTGTTTTCACAATAGCTTTCCATTTTGATTTCATTTATTCTGTGGTTTAACTACTTTTTTAATTTCTTGTCATAGTCGATAGTTCGGATAATAAGTAGTACATTCTTGTTGGCAGAAAACTATAATCACAACGTCGTTATCTTGAATAAAAATACCTATGATAACGAACTAGTGAAAAATAGATTAATAACTGCAGTTTAAATATTAATTTCCAAAAAATATACGTTTTTTTTAATTTAAACAAACATTGTAATGAAAATCAATGAAAATTAAACCTAACCTAACCAGCAAAGGTGACAGGAATAGTTAATATGAGTTTCACGAGACCACAAGAGACCAATAACGCAAGTAACGGCGGCCCAACGAGTGTCAAGTTTATTATTTCATGGTTTGAAAAAAACCTGATGGAAATTTGTCAAACCTACGTGATATGAATAACATTTTATAAATTTTTATTATAAATTTATAAGTGTGTGTATATGTGTAGCGTTACAGCGGATTGTTTCTCTATACGGTGTACTACACTCAATCCTATATTATTCGTACAATTTATTTCTCATTGTTTGAACAGGTGAAGTTTCCATTTTTATTGTCGACTACGCTTAGAATTGCAACTCGACTGAATTTCTTTTACCGCAATTCTATAGTTACTCTCAAGTGACATACTCATACTTCATATTAACTATCACCAAAATAATATTATTCTTTATTATGGTGACTTTCAGTTATTTTTTAGTTGTTTTATCCGTCTGTATTTGTACGTTTGCCAATGGTACGTATAATGTATTTATTATTTAACCAGAAACCGTGGATTAAATATTATTTTATGCACAATGTTCCTAGACAATCTATCATTTATTTAACCACCTTTCATTTCGCTATACACCTACAGCTTTTTTAGATACACTCGAGAAGGATGACTTGGTATTTTTTAAAGGAGACCAAAATAATTGTAATTATATTTATGTTTACCTTATACGTATAATACTTATGTAAATGTTATCAGAATTTATACAATAAAAGCTCTTTCAAACAAACTTATTGAAAAATATTTTATTATTACTTAGTATTGTAGTCAATTGGTAATTGATTCAATTATAAAATTAATTTGCTAAATTTATTTATGTTTTTTTATTTTTTCAGCGACCGGCTATTGGATGTTTGTAACTGAAGGTATGTAGTACAATAATATGGGTCTTAGTTGCATTTAGATCTACATTTTAGGGGGTGCTAAAATTATGTATACCCGACTAATCATAATTCTTATCTTCAAATCATTAGATATAAAATAATATATTTGAAAACAAAAATATTGTAGAAAAAAAAAATGAACAGAGTAACATGTACATTATTAAAATTTTATGCGTACAAATCAAGGATTGGGGTTTGAATTTTTGGGGGTATTGAAGTCCCCCTAGCACCCCCACTAATTGCGCCTATGTAATGGGTTATCATGTTATTAAATATAATTCATGAATTTCTTGCAGATGGCCAAAATCCGGATCCTAATCAAAGTATTATGACATTTTTTATCCTTTAAAATTAAATAATAAATAAAAATGTCAATACCATGAAAATGTGAAATAATATGATCACAATGTATAAAAACACTATGAAAAAACAAATGTAAATTCTTATTTGACACTACTATGAGATATTGAGTGATTCACGATAAAATGATCACCATGTATTGTATTATATTATTAAAAACAACTTTTCTCTTGTACAGATGTGGATTATATTCTAAAAAAAAAAGAGTGAGTAATAATATTATCTACGATTTAATGCCAAGATAAACGTTTTAGTTTTTTTGTGCCTGATGACATTCTTGTATTTTATTTTGGGCAACAACTACATAAATAAAAAAAGACGATGTGGACTTGTTACTTTGGTAGGTTAGGTTAATAGCAAAAAGGTATACGTATGCGGGCTACTATATGTTTATTACCTCATATGGCAATAAAGACAAACAATTATTAATCAGTTTACCAATAGTTTTTCACATAGATTGTATAGATTTGCATTAAAGCGGTCAACAACAGTTTAATCACTACAATATAAATTTAGAGTGGGAAAAGAGTTTTTATTTATCGATTTTAAAGGGGCAGAAATGAGTTTTTTTTTTAAATGTTGTCATTAACTTTAGTGAATGATTTATGATCTGTAGATTGGCTTGTAGTAATAAAAATGGGAAGCTAAAAATATAGAGATAGGAGGGGTAATCTGTGATGTCTTTATGAAATTATTTTTAATATATATATGTGTGCTTTTAAATGTGTCCTACTCTTCCATATCCTATTACTACAATAGTATGCTAGTGTTAATAAGCTTTCACGTACCTTATGGCTCAGCTATAGAGTGGAAATGCGTTGTCTCGCTGTCCTCCGTTGTTCCTTTGTTGTCTGTAGTGACTGAAAATAGAAGTCCCGTATGACACGCACTTACCGAACTCGTTAGTTTCTAATAGATACCGAAAGTTTTACTTAATAACACGCGTACTATTAGGTGTAATGTGTTAATGATCCGGCTCGGAGTGTATTCCTGTTTGTCCAAATAAAGTTACCCTTTTCAGATATGTTTTTAAGCGTTTTTAACTTGGTGATCCTCTAGCATGCTACGTGATAACTAGTCAGAGGACTACACAAATTCGTTTAGAAGATCAGACTACTAGGCTGCGATATTTAGAAGCAACAGACCTTAAGGGTCCATATTTAACCTCACTAAACAGCCGCTACTCTAGTTGTCTTCCCTTAGCTAAACACTGATTAATTTACTTTTAAGCGTTTTTAACTTGGTGATCCTCTAGCATGCTACGTGATAACTAGTCAGAGGACTACACAAATTCGTTTAGAAGATCAGACTACTAGGTTGCGATATTTAGAAGCAACAGACCTTAAGGGTCCATATTTAACCTCACTAAACAGCCGCTACTCTAGTTGTCTTCCCTTAGCTAAACACTAATTAATTAACTACTTAACTACTTAAATTTTCCAATTGCTGACGAGAACATCCAAATTCCAAGTGAATAATTTAATTCAAAGGAATTGGATCCCTAGAGCTGCTTTACGCTTCTCAAGAGAATTAAATGAACCAGGCCAGTCTCTCGGACTATGTTAAGATAGCTAAATTAATAGACGAATTATTAAATGAAACAAATAAATAAACACAATGTTTTGTTGTGCATAGGACTTGGAACATACACTGAGTCAAAACCATAAACAATTACGAAAAGAATCGGTTAACTACGCACACCCTGCCTTAACAATTAAATAATTGATAAGTTGCAGACGATTGTAGCTAAACGACTGAGCGGCGACAAGCCCGTCGTATTGTCTTATATAGGGAGTAAATGCGTCATTAGCAGGGGGTGAGGTATGAAATGTTTTCTAGGATAATCATCCAAGCGTATAATTGTATGGTATGAGTCAGCATATGTTATGTGTCATGTTTATTTTAGTATATCCTTTAATACTTTTATAAAATACTGTATTTGAAATAATATATAAATAATTGTGTGCGATATTATTATTTTGTGCATATAATTGATCTTATATAATTGACATTTTTGATTAGTGCATATATTGAATTTAGTGCATATAATCTTATCATATATAGGGGTATTTTTAGTGCATATAATTTCATGTATTGTGTGTTGTGTATTATGTATTAAGATATTATATGTAAATGATTCAATGAGTACAATATAATCATTACAAAGTGCCACTTTCGAATTTTGGACACGTCCCCGTGGCCTAATATAAAACATATTATTTTTTTTTTAAAAAAAAATTAAAATAAGGTTGATTAAAAAAAAAGTGCTATTGGGGATTTAGGTATTGCATTCTTTTTTTTACATTTCTTTTGCAATTAGGCTTTGCCTTCTTTTTTTTGTGTTTTCTTAATCTATTTTTTTTTATTTTAGAAGGATTTTTTTTATTTTTTAACGTTTTAAAATTAACAGTTAATTTTTGTACCTGAGTAGGGTGCGTTGTCAGAATTGTTTGTGGTGGTGTAGGTTGGAGAAAAAGTGTGTTTTGAGCAATCTCCTCCTTATGCCTCGTTCTTATGAATGGCATCATGGCTTGGTTGATGTTCGGTGATTTGTTTGTTGCTAGGTTTTTTGCGATTTCAATTAAATTCGGCCCACTGTCCCATGAATTAGTTAGCATCGGTTGGTTGCCGAATTTAATCGTCCATAGTTTCTTTTTTATTTTATGTTCATTTCCCCATTGAGTAAGGAAATCAATTAAGTCGGAGGTGATGTCCTCGTAAGTTCCTCTTCTTCCATCATATATTATCACGCTTTCTGTAGGCACATGACAAGTGATGAGCATCCAGTGATTTTCATTGAAGTTGAACGGGAAGAACAGATAGGTTTTGAGCAGCATGTCTTTGTTTATTTTTTGTTTAACATGTTCGAATCCTTTGTTTATGTAATCCAATAGGAAGTTAGTGTAGAAATAATAATTGTTATTAGTATTGTTAATTATTAACTCTAAGTATTTTTCGATGGTATTTTCTGTGTATATGGATGTACTTGTTTTGAAGGACATGTTGGTATTGGTATAGTACTATTATAGTTTGTGTATGTTCTGGCTCGCGATAAGTCGAATACTGAGGTATTAGTAAATTGGATGGTCTCTTCTTTTGAATTATATTTTTGTATTTTGTCCTGGTGGTGAAATTTTCACTTAATTAGAATCTTGTGTTTCTAGGGAGTGGGTGGTTTTTGTTATATGCCATTTGCTGTTTTATGCAGGTGGAGGAGATAAGGTTGCCTTGTGGTTGGTTGTTTGATTTGATCCTTTGATGTTGTTTTCGTTTCCAGGTGTATTTGAAGTTGACAAAACGCCCTTACAGGTTTGACAATATATTTTGGTAGGGATGATGTGTGATAGTTATAATGTATATTTTTATAATGATAAAAAAAAAGAAAAATGAGAGAGGTAGAAAAAAAATTAAATAAATGTATATAATATTATAGTGGTTGTGTGCAATATTAATGTGATTTAGATATTTTGATTTCGTGTTTCATCATTTAGTTTGGAAACAATTTTATTGTGTTAACATAACTTATTAACCCTATTTATGTACATAAAACATATGGATCTTACATAAAGAAAATGTATTGTTTTTGTTGTTTTTAGGTGTTATATACCTAATACTTTTAAGAATTATATGCACATGCACTACTAAAGCTATATAATCTTACCTGGTTTGTCACATAAAAGTGCATGAATGCTTTAGTGTATTCTAAGTACATTTGAAAGTGTATATTATAATATAATAATTATATCCTTTATTGTTAAATCTCGTGAGTTTTGTGCATATGATTTTTTTTCTGAGCATCATTTATAAGATAATGAGCTCATATTTGTCATAAGCTGTATTTTTTTATGTGCAATTGTGTTTCGCATGCATCTTTGTGTGTATGGTGTAGTTTTGTTAAGTAAATATTAATTGTTTGAATATTTCTTATTCTAACTTTCACCAAATTATACTGTAGCAGATTTTTGATTTGCCATATATTTTTGTGTTTTTTTTTTTTTTTTTTTTTTTTTTAAGTTATATGTAATTAAAAGTTCAATAATAAAATTAATTAATTGAAATGTAAGTTAATAATTATTTGTAATTTATGTTTAAAATGTAATGTTTTGTTAAAGTGGATGAAACTGATAGTGAAATATATGTTTTATTTGTGATTCTTAATATTGTGTGCTACAAGTCTTTTAGATAAAATTGAAGTTTAAAAGGAGTTGACATAACTTAACTAACTCATAATTCTGCCAACCTATTTGGTTAATGATATTTTGGGCTTCATCGATTATGTTAGATACCACAGTGATCGGAAAATCTGCAGATGAAAGATGATAAATATTTCCGAGTTCATTAGGAAGAGCTAGAATGTTTTCGAAGTCGTTAGTTTTGTAGGAAGTTAATATTAGTGAACCGGTAAATATTTCGTTTTGAATTATGGCGTCCGGTGGAATTGATGGGTGACTGAGACAATGAGTATTATGAAAGTGCATGAGTGTGTTTACAATTGAGGGGTGTAAAGTATTTTTTTTAAAAGAACGAAATATTTGGTGATAATTTTTGTTCCAATCGAAGAATAAATGTTCATTGCACTCGGTTCTTTCTAAAAAGTATTGTGGTATATTATTGGTAATGAATTTTCCTATTTTTATAGATAATAATCTTACAGGTAACAGGTTGGCGTAGTTTATGTATGTTAGAGTCATGGCGAAAATCTCGATTAATTTATAAATTTTTGTGAGATTTGATAAATGTTTTCTGTCCCATAGATGACAGGTGAAGAATAGGAAGAATTCAGTTTGACAGCATATATTAAGAATTTCTTCTACAGAGAATCTATCTGATAGAAGGTTCTCATTAATTATGCGAGTTAGGGTGTCAATGGAGTGAATTTTATTGTCTAGGTTAAAGAAAAAAAGATTTTGTTTGTCGTCGCAGAAGTGTATGTTGGTGGTGTGTATGGAAAAGGGTGAGTTTTTATTGGATGTATTTTGTTTAGATTCTGATTTAAGTATATTAATATACTCCAATCTCCTCATATTTATTTCTTGTCTTGAATAAGAAAAGTTGTTAATCGGTGGTGTTCTGCGACTTTGTGCGGGATTAGTTAATTCGGAGATAATTGGGCCGTTATATTGGGATATTAGGAAAGGATTGCCTGAAGCACACCAATAATATGTATCATAAAACCCACTAAGTTGATTCCTATCTTTATAGTATA